ACCCTCCCTGGGAGCCCGGCTCCAGCGAGTCTCTGCTGTCCATCTCCGCTTCCTGGAAGCCATTAGCTTCACCCATGGCGTTCGCTGCCACCCACCTTCTGTTTCCTACCTTCTGTCAGAGCATCTTCTCACCCTCCGCTCCCACCCGGCTGGCTCCCCCACCCCCCACGGCCCCACAGCTCGCAGCACCTGCACACTCTCCTAAGTACTTCTCAGAGGTGGGGATGTCGGGCTTCCTCTAACAGGGGTCCCTTCCCACTTGGGAGGGGAGGAGACTGAGGCTGGGAGATTGGCTGTGAACACCCCCGGAGGGGAGAGAGGTGGGGAAGGGCTGGGGCTGGGCTGGCTATATGGTCCCTGCAGCAGGGCCCTTTGCCACCATGGTCTGCAGCCTGGTGTGGCTCTGATGGGGTGATGACCCCTGCTGGCCCAGACTCTTTCCCCTTCGGGCATGCCACTTCAGCCCCGAGGCACCATTGAGCCTGACTTTGTCTCTCCTGCCACAGGAACCAAGTACCAGGCCACCCTGAGTGTGGACGACTGCTTTGGGATGGGCCGCTTGGCCTACAATGAGGGGGACTACTACCACACTGTGCTGTGGATGGAGCAGGTGCTGAAGCAGCTCGACGCGGGGGAGGAGGCCACCGTGGCCAAGGCCCAGGTGCTGGACTACCTCAGCTACGCCGTCTTCCAGCTGGGCGACCTGCCCCGGGCCCTGGAGCTCACACGCCGTCTGCTCTCCCTTGGTAAGGAGCTGCTGGGTAAGGGGCGGGGTGGTGGTAGTGTTGGCACCACTGCCTGAACCTTCCCCCAGGACTGTGCCAGTCTGGCCTGCCACCCAACAGGGACGAATACCTGACTGATTCCAGGCTCTGTCCCAAGAGCCAACCTTCCTGAGCCCTGGCCTTAGCCCTTATGGATGGAGACACCCAGGGCCCCACGTGCTCCCTTTTTGAAGAGAAGCCCAGAGCTCTGGGGCATCTGCTGCTCTGCAGGGTGAGCCACCCGGCGGCAGGAGCTTCTCTGGGCAAACAGCCACTCTTCAGGACCCGGAGTCTGCTGGGGACCTGCCCTGGCATGGGGGCTTTGTAAGTGACTCTGTGGGAATGAAGAAGCCGGCAGCTCTGTGTTATGCAAACCTTCCTGTCCCTCCTGTCACTAGTGTACGGCTCATGGAGCCCTGGGATTCCGTAGACCAGCAGAGACTCCCTGCTGCTGCTGCTGCTGCTGCTGCTGCTGCTCTTGACAGGGCCCCAAGTCTGGGCTTGGCTAGCCTACATGTGTCCCACAACATGGACGTAGGGAGAGGACTTTGTAGGTTCCATCGGGCCAGTTATTAAGGGCCTCACAGGGGGTGGGGGGGTGGAGTGGAGGGGGGATCAGGATTCCCCTTCTGGAAAACCTTACCATCTGTGGGCCTCACTGTGCAGCAGAGGGCCCGCCAAGCTTGCACCTTTGGGTGTTGAGAGGCCCCCAGGCTATGGCAGTACGGGTCATGTGGCCGTTTCTTTGGCACTCTGGCTGTGGAGAGCACATGATGTGGCCATGGACCACGCATCTACCAGGGAGCCACGTCATGAGCAGAGGATGGCTTCTCTGGGCCTGGTCCCGGAGGCGTCTAGGGAGGCCTGAGAGGACAGTCCTAGGTGCTCAGGGCTGGCTAAGCAGCTTCCTGTGCGGCCATCTGGGCTCTGGCCATGGCAGGTAGAGCCTCTGTTGGCGCTGCCTCTGCCCAGCGAGCGCTGCGTGTGAAGGGGCCGCCTGGAGGGAGACTGGCTCGCAGAACAAGGTCTCTGAATGACCTAACAGATGTTTGTGGTTTCCTTTTCTGCCGTGCCCTCTGCTTGTTCCAGACCCGAGCCACGAACGGGCTGGAGGGAACCTGCGGTACTTTGAACACTTGTTGGAAGAAGAAAGGCAGCAAACGTTACCGAACCAGACCACGGAAGCCGAGCCAGCTGCCCAGGATGGCATTTACGAGAGGCCCGCGGACTACCTGCCCGAGAGGGACATCTACGAGGGCCTCTGTCGTGGGGAGGGCGTCAAACTGGTGAGAGGCCCAGGCTGTGGACTTGGATGGGCAGATTTGGGGGTGCGAGGCGGGTGTTCTCTGAGGGCTGGGCTGGCAGACTCTCGCCCCTGACTCTGGCAGAGGCTCAGCCCTCTGAGTTACCATTGAGCCCCGGACCCCAGTCCAGCAGGTCCAGCTTTTGCATGACTCCGTGTGATGCGGACCATGGGTGTAGATGAGTGCCAGGCTCCAGGCATGGAGTAACGTCTTGAGAGTCGAGCTCAGTGTCAGGAGTCTGTCCCTGGGGCGTGGGAGGCCGTGTGTGGGGCAGGCTCGTAGCCTTGTGCACATCCATGTAAGCCTGACATGCACTGGCTTCTTCCCCTGGAAAGGCTTTCTTCTGGCCCCAACCTTTTAAAGCTCTGGGAAGGGTCAGGAATTAGCCTCTGCTACAGGATTCGAGGACATGAGGCATTCTTGGGGGCCAAGAAAAGCTGCCTAGTTTGTGGGGTGACATTTCTTGCCAGGAGAGCTAGGGGGCTTTAGTGTCCTCCTAAGGCATGGCCGAGTGGCTGCGGGACACAGGTGTGAGGCCTTTGGCCGCAGCCAGGAGGACTGGGGGTGGGGCGGGGGGAGGCTGGTTCACTCCCCGAGCTCAGCACCTGTCACTGTGATTCCCAGACGCCCCGGAGGCAGAAGAGGCTTTTCTGTAGATACCATCATGGCCACGGGACCCCACAGCTGCTCATCGCCCCTTTCAAAGAGGAGGACGAGTGGGACAGCCCACACATCGTCAGGTACTACGATGTCATGTCTGATGAGGAAATCGAGAGGATCAAGGAGCTTGCGAAGCCCAAAGTACGTGTCTCTGCAGGCCCTCCCCGGGCTGCTGAAGATTCGGCATGCCCTTCCTCGTAGCCCTGGCACAGGGTGCTCTTTGCTTACCTTCTGGCCTTGGCCGAAATGTCTGGCGGGAATTGTCCTAGGGTGCTGTCTGCCTGTGTGGGTTCATGGTCCAGTGGGGAGGGAAGGAGGGACAGCCAAGAGTGGACAGCCAAAAGTGACTGGTGAGGTGACAGAGGGCACACTAGGGACAGGTCAGACCCTGTTCACCTGGCCCTCCTGAGAGGAGGAATTGCTAATGAAGAGACTAGCTTGGAGGAGCATGTCTGTCTTGACAGCATTGTCTTCACATCGGTGTGTGTCTCCATTTATTCAGGTCTTGTAAGTTCGTCAGCCTGGTTCATTTCTAGGGAGCCCTGGTGGCATGGTAATTACACATTGGACTGCCAAGGGCAAGGTCAGTGGTTCAAAACCACTATCTGCTCCTAAAGAGAAAGATGAGGCTTTCTACTCCCATACAGAGCGACAGTCTCAGAAGCCCACAGGGGCAGAACACCCACCTACCCTGTCCTGGCAGGTCGCTCTGAGTCAGACACAACCCAACGGCAGTGAGCTTGGTCTTTTGAGTTTTGCTCAAGTGTATTCCGAGGTAGTTTAAAAAAGTCTATGGTCGTAACTGCAACCCTTTTCTTCTCCTTCATCGTGTTTTAACTTGTTTTGCCTTTGTTTGTGTCCAGTGAGCCAGCCTTCCCCCTTCTCACAGCAGCCCCTGTGCACAGGGGAGAGCTCCCCTGCAGGGCTTTCTGGCTTGGGATCTTTCTGGCATTGGCCTGCCAAGCCTTTTATCTGCACAGCTACAGAGTGGATTTCAACCACCGCAGCTGGCCGCAAAGCTCTTATGACACCAGCTTTGCCATTCTATGCCAAACTGCTGACATTTAACTTCTGATTAATATCTAGCAGTGTGACAGGCCCAGCTCTAAGTACGTGGCCTGTGTCGAGCATTCACGGCATTATTCGCCATTATTTCTGTGTCACACGCAAGGAAACAAAGACTTGGCCATGTCATGGCGTCATGCTGCTCCCCTCTTTTTTGGGGGGGCTTTTAGGAAAATCTCCAGTAACATTCCCTTGAGTTTTATAGCTGGCATTGTCACCAGCAAGAAAGGAAGATTTTTAATCATTTTATTGGGGGGCTCATACAACTCTTATCACAATCCACCCATCTATCCATTGGGTTAAGCACATTTGTTGCCATCATCATTCTCAAAACATTTTCTTTCTACTTGAGCCCTTGGTATCAGCTCCTCATTTTTCCCGTCCCTCCCTCAAGAACCCTTGATAATTAAATAATTATTTTTTCATTTCTTACACTGACTGAAGTCTCCCTTCACCCACTTTTCTGTTGTCCGTCCCCCAGGGAGGGGGTTATATGTAGATCCTTGTGATTAGTTCCCCATTCCCCCCCGCCTTCTCTTTACCCTCCTGGTATTGTTACACCCATTATTGGTCCTGAGGGGTTTATCTGTCCTGAATTCCCTGTGTTTCCAGCTCTTATCTGTACCAGTGTACATACTCTGGTCTCGCCAGATTTGTAAGGTAGAATTGGGGTCATGATAGTGGGTGAGGTGGGGGATGAAGCATTAAATAACTAGAGAAAAGTTGTATGTTTCATTGGTGCTATGCTGCACCCTGACTGGCTCGTCTCCTCCCCGAGACCTTTCTGTAAGGGGTTGTTCAATTGCCTACAGATGGGCTTTGGGTCCCCACTCCGCACTCCCCCTCATTCACAATGCTGTGACTTTTTGTTCTGGGTCTTTGGTGCCTGATACCTATGCCATTGACACCTCGTGGTCACACAGGCTGGTGTGCTTCTTCCATGTGGACTTAATTGCTTCCCAGCTAGATGGCCGCTTGTTTATTTTCAAGCCTTTAAGACCCCAGACACTATATCTTTTGATAACCAGGCACCATCAGCTTTCTTCACCACATTTGCTTATGCACCCATTTTGTCTTCAATGATCATGGCGGGAAGGTGAGCATCATGGCATGCCAGGTTAATAAAGCAAAGTGTTCTTGCGTTGAGGGAGTACTTGTGTAGTGGCCCAATGTCCATCTGCTACCTGAATACTAAATCTATAAATATATGTACATAGATCTATTTCCCCATCATCATTTATAAATATGTTTACATATGTACGTGCCTGTATTTAGACCTCTCTAAATGCCCTTTGCCTCCTAGCTCTTTCCTCTAGTAAGAAAGGAAGATTTTGTTTTCTCCTTCCCGACAATTAAAATGAGTTGTTATGGTCTTCTTGAGCTGCCTAGAACAACCAGAGCTGTGTAGAACAGCCATCCTTGGCTTATTCTTGAGCTTCCGGGAAATTCCTCTGGCATGACACTGGTCAATAGGAAGCAGGGTGTTGGTTCTGTGTGTGTGTGATGTTATAAAGTAGCTCTTCTATTTATAGTTCATGAAAGATCCGCTTCCATTTGGAGAGCGACTTGCTGCCCTGCCCTCCTCTGCTCATTCTTGGTCACTTGTGGGTGAAACCCCAACCCAGACCTGCTGCCATCGAGTCGGATTTGGACTCGCAGCGACCTGACCCACTGAGGAGAGCTGCCCCTGCAAGTTTCCGAGGTTGTAAATCTTGACGGGAACAGAGCTCGCCTCATCTGTGTCCTGTGTGGCAGCAGCTGGCGTTGAGCTGCTGAGCTTGCAGTGCCATCAGGGTCCTGAGGTGACGATCAGGAGAGAGAATCTAGCGCAGCTGTGCACTGCTCTGGTCCTCAGGATCTTCAGAGTCCAGGGAGTCCTCCACAGCCCAGGGAGAGGCCGGGTACCCGCCCCCTCTCTGTGTGTGTGTGCCTGGGGCTGGCCCCTGACCTCGTCTTGGAACAACCTGGGCTGCAGGCGCTCAGAGAGCTAGAGTTGAGAGCTGGCGATTGGCATCCCTGGTGAGACTGGATAAAAGCCCAGCTGGGTGTGTGGAGAGCAGGCTCTGGGACCCCCACGTGCGCTCTCTGGTCAGCTGCATGGGGGCCAAGCCCCTAGGGGAGGAAAGCCACTGTCCTGTCCGGATCTCCTAAGAGAGTCCTCTCCTGTCCCTCAGAAACTGGAGACATTCCTGTCTTGTGAGGGGAGAGAGAGAGAGAATGTGTGTGTGCACGCGCGTGTGTTTAGTGTTCAGAAAACTTGTCTTTGAACAGGAGCCATGTTCTGAGCCAAACATGTTGGTCCTTACAAGCTGATCTTCCGGAGCCTGGGAGGGGCAAATACTGTTGTGGCTTTGAAGTGGGACTCGGGAGGTTAACTTGGCATGTGGGGAATGCCTGGCAGCTGACTCCGGGTACCCAGCCTGCCTTCAAAAATAGCCCGTCAGTCCCCAGGGACAGAGCTCCATTGCCCAGTGCCTGCTTGTGGGCAGTAGGCCAGGGCTGAGGCTCACGCTTGGATGGGTCCACCTGCGGCAGCAACTCGGGGAAGCCCTCTGTCCAGGGTGCACTAGCCAGCTCAGTAGAACGTGCTGCAGCACCGCCATGCCCGGTTTGAGGTCAAGCCCACCTCCTGGCCATCGTCCCTCGGGCCCAGGCAGCCAGCCTCCCTTGTCGCCTTCTCTGCTTGGACACGCCTTCCCCAGGGCTCAGCTCCAGCTCCTCCTGGTCTCCCCCTCCACAAAGCATCTGGAATGACCTTCTAAGGATCAGATGTGCCCCCCCCCCAGCTCCCACATAAAGCCTCTCCCCACCCAGAAGCTGCAAGGTTATCTCCAGATGCTAGGTAAGCCCCCTCCCCCATCTCCGACTGATGTCGTCAGGTGCCATGACTCAGAGGGACGCGATGTGCCGCAGAATGTGACAGGGCCCAGTTCCGCATCATCCTCACGATGAATTCCATCTCGGCTCATTGCTGCAGCCACTGGGTCGGTCCTTCTCCTCCAGGGCCTCCTCGTTTCCGCTGTCTGCGTTAGTCTGGGTAGACTAGACACTCAGGTGTATAAGAAAAAGCTTTATACAAAGAGTGATTGTACATTAAGAAAGCATTCCAGCCCTGTCCACATCAAGTCTGTAAGTCTGATACCAATCACGAATCACATGCAATGACACTGAATTCGGGAAGATCACAGGCCAGTGGGTGGGAAGTCTTCCAGATCCAGTGGCGTTATAAGCATCTCAGCGCTGGCAAGGGTCTCCGCGTGGCTCCTCCAGCTCAGGGCACTAGCGTAGTTCCATGTGTCTTGTCAGCTGCAATGTCTCCTAGGGAGTCAGCAGAGAGAGAGTGTTTCCAGCCTCCAAGGAGGAATACAGGAATTCCCAGAATCCTCAAAAGAAGGCCATGCCCACACAGAGGCCTCATTGGCCATGACCTGATTGACAGGCTAGACTCCACCCCTTCACGCTTAATCCTCTCAAATTGACAAATGATTATATAACTACCAGACTGCCCCTCTACTTTATCAGCATGATGTCCTTCTCCAGGCACTGGGCTCTCCAGACAGCATGTCCACAGTACTTGCTGCTTCCCCTGAACTCTGATTCACTGTTGGGAGATCACACCCATTTCATCCCCAGACCTCGGCACCACTGTCCCTCCTCCTCCTGGCTAACGCCTATCTGGCCTGCAGGTCTCAACCAGCGTCTCCTCCCTTACAGGAAGCCTTTCTTTGACCTCCACCTCTGCCCTTCACACCTCCGTGCTCCAAACTCATGCTGACCTGTAGTGACCCTACAGGACAGGGGAAGACTGCCCTGTCAGTTTCTGAGATGTCACTGGTCGTGGGCTGTGCTCTGACGACCTGCTAGTTTCTTCCTTCCCCATTGGTGGAGTTGTACAAGGGCACGTCTGGGTCACCCAGCATAGTGCCAGGGTACAGTAAGTGCTCACCCAGTGTTTATTGAAATAAAGGAGAACTCCTAGCAGGTTGGGTACCTGGGTCTCTGGCGCCACCCCATGGGGACATCACAAGCCTGGGCCCTGCAGGTTCTGGTCAACAGGCCCCTCTGGACAGCATCACTGAGCCTGTCTCTAGAGACCTAAGGGAGATGAGGAGGGGAGGGTGGGTACATGTAGGTGAGGGCAGGTGGCTTCTAGGCAGTATTTCACCTATGGTAACGTATAGAATTGGGCGGGCCCTGATTCCATCATCGGACGCTGAGGCTCAAGGTCATGAATAAGTATAGCTATTCACTCCCCGAGCTGGATTGGCACCCTGGCTGCAGCAGTAGCTCCAGCACTGGAACACTTGTGAGGATGGCGCAGGACCGGGCAGTCTTGCCTTCTGTCGTGCATGGGATCCCTATGGGTCCATACCCACTGGACAGCATCTCATCACAAAAATTAACTCCACCCATGCCCGAGATTGGCCTGCCTGCCTTGCTGCTTGGTTGGGGACTTGGGTCCTCTCTCTGCGGTCCCTAGACACACCTTAGGGCCCTCTCATGTTGAGTGGGGGGCAGTGACCAGGCCAGCATAAAGCAGGCAGAGATGGCCTCCAGGGCTGGGGCAGGGCAGTGTCAGGTGCAGCTGCAGGATGTTGGGAAGAGTCCGAGATAGCATCTTGGCAGAAGAGGCCCCTGAGGTTCAGAGGCTGGTGGGATGTAGCCAAGTCCCTGCAGGGTTGAGGCTCGGGCGTGAGGGGGTGGCCTAATGGGGTTGAAGCAGCCAGGCTGCAGCAGGGATACCGTGGGGGGCCTGGTCAGGAGGTGGGGGTGCAGGCAGGTGGGCCAAGGAAGCTCCATAGGCAGGTGTCCGCAGCCAGCGCAGGCCTGGGCAGAGCAGGCCCGCAAGCAGAATGGGAATGTGGCGCCCTCTGCCCCGGCCCTGGCATTAGCTTGCAGGGTCTCAGGGTCTTGACACCAACCCCTACCTGCACACTTTACCCTGCTGCCCGCGTGGCAGGCAGACCTATTCCCAGTGTTCTCCAGAGCTCAGCTCAAGACAAACACACAGCCATGTGCTTTCTCTTCTACCTCCCAGCTCGCACGAGCCACTGTTCGCGATCCCAAGACCGGCATCCTCACTGTCGCCAGCTACAGGGTCTCCAAGAGGTGAGCGGAAGTTCTTGGCTGGGCCTGGTGGTGGCTGGCTCCGGGCCCCCAGTCTCTGCCTGCTGAGACTCTCACGGCATGCTCCCTGCTGGTGCTGACCCAGACCTGAGCCAGCCCTCCACTGTCCTTTCTCTGTGCATTTCTGTTGGCCCAGCTCCTGGCTGGAGGAGGATGACGACCCTGTCGTGGCTCAAGTGAATCGTCGCATGCAGCACATCACAGGGCTCACGGTGCAGACTGCAGAACTGTTGCAGGTATGGTGACCCTGGGCGCCCGGGAAGTGGGGGAGGCGGGTCCTTCTGGCGAGGTGGGCTCACAGGGCCCCACATGAGCCTCAGTGGTGTAGCTTAGGAGGGTGATGCCAGCATGTGGGCATAGTGGAGACCTTTTCACTCCCTGGGTTAGTCCCATGTCCCAGAAAGCCCTCCAGGGAGGGAAAACCACCAAGCCATTGTATGACTGCACACTGTATGACTGCTTAGCATGTGGCCTGATGTCACCCTGGGAAGCCCTAACTGAGCATGCCCACTGGTGGTCAGCAGTTAGCGTTTAGGAATCGCGGAGGTAGCCGTGCTGCGGTGCCAAGGATCACGTGGCGGCAGGCTTGTCCATGTCCTGTCGACGGCGCACATTCACAGACCTGGTCTCCAGCATTGGCCTTCTGCCCATTGGCTACTGGAAAAAGAACGTGCCGATTTGTGGGCCATGTGGAGGCAAAAGTTCAGAGAACGTCCAAGAGCACTATAAATACGGTGTGGTCCTGAATCACAGTCTAGTACACGCGGAGACAGTGTTCCTGGCACATTGTTGGAAGGCTGGGGAAGGTGGAGCCGCGCGGTGGGAGGACGCCCTGGGGAAGCTGGCTTCCGGCCTTTGTTATGCTTACGAGGAACTGTGGTGGCAGGGCAGGACCGGACCACAGGGGAAAGCACCTAATAGTGCATCCCCTGGGGCCCTGAGTTCAGGTCAGCGCTGGCTTCCTCGTAAAAGCAGTAGCCTGAGATGGGCTGCCGCTGCAGCATCTCTCCAGAGAGGCCTGGACCCATCTGTCTGGCCAGAGCTTCTGTGCGTTTAAGGATAGCAGTCTTCCCCTTTCAGCTTGGCATCTGGGTCTGACCAACCCAGAGTCCCGTGAAACTCACCAAACACGTTGCCGGCAATCAGGGACTCCCGGCACCCTTCAGGACAGGGACGAAAACGAGCAGTTGAGACTTTCTTGTGACTTGGGATGAGCTCCTGTCTCGAATTTTCTGCACAGAATTCCTTGAGCTCCAAGACCCTCTGGCTCCGTACTATATTTGCTTCCCAGACAAAACCCAAACTCACTGCCACCGAGTTGATTCTGACTCAGAGTGACCCCATAGGACAGAATACAACTGCTCTTTGGGGTTCCCCAGGCTGTAACTCTCCCCGGGAGCAGAGAGCTTCATCTTTCTCCTGCAGGGTGGCTGCTGGGGTCAAATGGCTGACCTCTGCAGCTTGCAGCCCCCGCCCAGCCACGGCACCACCAGGGAAGTGGTTTCTAAGCACCTGTCTTGCTCGCACTGCAGTCTCTGAAATCCGCAGCCTTTCAAAGGACTGGCTGTCGACTGTGTAATAACAAGTCTAAAGATTCAAATGAGCACTTTCCCCCCCGGAATGTGTTACGGGTGCTTGTTATTGGCAGTGCGGGGCTGGGGAGCTGGCTGTGCCCTGGTGATGAATCCGGTTGCTATAGCTCCAGAAGTCCCTATTCCTTTGACACTCCCGGGAACAGTATCAAATAGTGCAGGGACAATGGCTGTATCACAACCATCACACGCGATCCCCAGAACTTGAAACACGAGGCAGCATTAGCAACGCAGGCCCGTCTGGCCACGTGGGATCGGAACGCTTCCGTGCTCCCGCAACAAGCGTCAGTTGTGGAAAAGCACAGTCAGACTGCCGTCTGGCGCCAAGCAGAGATCGAGTTTTCCTGAATGCACCGGCACATGTTTAAACTTTCCCTCAGGGCCACGAGCAGAATGGGCCCAAGGGAGAGAGAACATTGTGAAACGGTTTTAGAAAACCACTTTGCCAATTGCTCGGGCACCTTTCTCAGACGCCCCGCACCCAGAGGGCTGTTGACACCGCTGATGGGCCTCCCCAGTGTTTCAGGCTCGGGGCATCTTGGAGGCAGATGGAGTGGATGACAGACAGCACGTTCCCCATCACAGGTGGACTGGACTTTTGCACACCCTGCCCAAGTCATACTGCCCTGATTTTGTGTCTTAGGACATGTGGCAGATACTGCTTGTGCTTCTGTAAAAAGGCTTTCCTCTCTGGTGAAGCCCACCACTTCTACCCCACCTCTCCCACCCCCCAATGTGTTGGAATCCACCAATCAGATAGCATCGCTCACCTGACTGCTGGCAAAGAGGATGTACTGAAAAGTACCACCTTTCCCAGCATGACTGGCTGAGCCGCTGGGGTTCTTAGGGTTTCTCGATAAGACAAGGTTGCCAGCTGTTGCCAGCTGCTCACTGTGGGTGCCCCTTGACCCTTCAGCTTCCTAAACAAGCTCTGTGCTTCTTCTTGAGCCCTGTCTCACATTCTGTCTACTAAGGTGGCAGTGACCATTGCTAGCTAAGGTTTATGTTCTGCTGGTAAGCTGTGTGCAAGGGCAGTTTAAATGCCCAGTCCAGTGCAGGGCACCAGCTAGGCCCTGAAGCTGAGGTGACCCAAGTCTCACTCCACGCTAACAAAGGGGTGTCCTGGGCTGCCCATGCCCCTCTGCCGCACTTGGAAGTGCTCCACGCAGTAGACCACTGTGGGAGGTGGGTGGAATAGATGGATCATTCTCCCCCATCCCCTCCTATCTGGCCTGGGAACAGTTCCTGGGGCACAGTGGCAGAGGTGGCAGGAGCAGTGACAGGCACCCGGTAGTTCTCATAGTAAAGGAGAAATACACCCTCAGCTTCGGTCGGGTGTTGGCTTTCCTCTGGGTCACACTCTTACTGTCTCCCAAATAAATGCCTTAGAGGGCTCCCTCTGGGCTGGGCGCTTCTCCGCTGTGGGCACCTCCAGCTCACCTGGCTCTTCCTGTGGGGGAAACCACGTTTGTGCTGCAGCCCTGCTCTGAGACCAGCAGCAAGCGGGCCCAGGGGAGGGCCTGGCTCTCCTCCCTGTAGACGAGACAGACAGCTCTTGGGGGTTGTAATTGTTTGCAGCCTGGGAAAATGGTAGCCCTAGGGAGACGGGCTGCTTAGAGGCTGTGGCTGCTGCTGCTGACAAGGCGAACGCGGTTCTTTTCCACCAGGTTGCTAATTATGGAATGGGAGGACAGTATGAGCCACACTTTGACTTCTCCAGGGTAAGACCTGAATCATGGGTGCTTTCAAAAGTCCTTGCTGCAGCTGTTTGGAGGAGGCTGGAGCTCCTAGGAGCACCCCAGCCTCTGGGCCTGCCCTCTCCCCACCACTTCCTCAACAAGGGGGAACCCCTTATTACTGGTGAAGTCCAAGTCTGGGCCCCTGGGGGCTGGGGAGCCAGTGGTGGCTTTCCTGTGATGTGGGAAGGGTCTGTCACTCTCCCTCTGCCTGGCTGGCCAGGTTTCCCCCGCAACCTTGGCCGGATTTCTGTAACACGCTTGTTACCCCCCCCCCACCCTTTGGGACCTGGTTGTGTGGGTGGTGGGTGAATTCAGTTGCAAACCTGGGTGAAAGTTATTGTCTGTTGCAGCGACCTTTTGACAGCGGCCTCAAAACGGAGGGGAATAGGTTAGCGACGTTTCTTAACTATGTAAGTATCCGGGCCCCGGCCCACCTGCTCATTCTCCCTTAATTTTATAGAGCCATGAGCAAGATGCTTTCAAGCGTTTAGGGACGGGGAATCGTGTGGCCACATTCTTAAACTACGTGAGTATGATGTGTGTAAGGGGCCCCTGGGCCCAGAGTGCTCTGTCTGGGCCGACACTCCCAGCTGCTGGTGAATGGCCAACCCCGCCCTTCCAGCCCACAGCAGCCTCTTGGCTGAAGTAGAGCTAGTTGACCCTTGTTCCCATCATTGTGTTTCCGCCCACTCAACCCCAGCAAGCCCCTTGCCTCCCCGGCTCCTTTCTGATGGGTCCGGTGCTCGGCTGGCCTCTGGGGGGGATGTGCTGGAGCGTCCCATGCTGGCAGCACCGGAGGAACTAGCTGTGAGAGACTCCTGCATGACAGCTCTGCCGTTTGCCTCCCACCGGCAGACACGGCCCTGTGTGCTCCGCTCCATCCACAGGGCCTTGGGTGTACCCTTCACACAAGGGTGATTTCCGCTCCTGGCTTCTAAGAGAGCCACCTCGCACCAGGCCTAGAGCCCGTCAAGTAATGTGGAAAAAGAAGCCTGTGTTCGGTTTCTCTTTAAATCTCGCAATTTTTAAACCTTGAAATTTTTGTGTATGTTACGTGTGTGCTGTGGGGCGGTGCTGTGACACTTGTGGCCTCTCCTGGGAAGCTCAAGGTCTAAATAAAGCTGGAGACTTGACACGTGGGAGAGGGAATTACGTAGTCAGCCACGGATAAGGGCTGTGATGAAGTAGCACAGGGAGCTTGGGGAACCCGCTGTTGGAGTTCAGGGAAGGCCTCCCATGGGAAGCGTGTTAGTCTGGGTGGACTAGAGAAACAAATCCAGAGACACTCATATATGCATAAGAGAGAACTTTGTATCAAGAAAAAACTATGCATCCATAAAACATCCCAACCCAGTCCAGATCAAGTACCTAAGTTTGAGATTAGCCCAAAAGTTCGATATTAGACCCAAAGTCTGATATTAGTGCATGAGTTCCTCCGCAGACTAATAGAGCACATGCAGTGATGCTGAAAGCAGGAAGATCACAGGCCAGTGGGTGGAAAATCTTGTGGAAGCATCTCAGCCGCTGGTGTGGGTCTCCACGTGGCTTCTCCAGCTCCAGGGCTCTGGCTGCCATCAACGTAGCTCCATGTGGCTTGTCAACAGGAATGTAAAGCAGAGAGAGTGTGTGTCCTGCCTTCAGGGAGGAAGACAGGAGTTCCCAGAATCCTCAGGAGAAGGCCATGCCCACACAGAGGCCTCACTGGCTATCACTTGATTGACAGGCTAGACTCCACCCCCTCACTCAAGTTGATAGGAGATTATGCAGCTGCCATGGGAGGTAACCTGTCAGTTGAGACTTGAAGGTTAAGTGGAAATTGGCTGGTGGGCCATGGTGTTTGACAGAGACTCTGGAGATCTGGAAGCAGGAAGGAGGTTGAGATGCTAAAAAACCATAGAAAGGCTGGCGTGGCTCAGGAGCAGCACCTGAGTCTAGAGAGGGCAGAGGGAGAGGCAGTGGGATGGACAGGGCTTTGAGGTTCTGGAAGACGGTTAGGGTGTGATTCCCCAGGACCATGGGATGCCCATGGAGGGTGGGGTTTCATCTCATTCATTTAGCAAATGCCTGTCAGGTGCCCTTCAGGCTGCCTGGCCTATGACCTGTGGAAATACTTGTTAGCTCCAAATTTTGTTAGCCTGACACACCAACGCTTGAAGTCAGGGCCAGATGAGCAGGATGGTGCTCCACAGGAGTTACAGCGTGCTCCGTGAGCTTGTGGGATGTTGTTCTGTTTCAGTGGAGGCCTCGCTGTGGGAGAAATCAAGCCTCTGGAGATGCAGGGTCTTACCTGTCCGCCCAGGGGGCCCTTGGGAAGGTCAGGGTCTGGAGCAGTTAGCCGCTCAAGCTGAGGAGACAGCCCATCGTGAGGGCCACCGCTGGTGTGGGGAATGGCAGTGGGGTTCTGGTTGGGCAGATCCATGGGCACAGAGCCTTAGGCGAGGCTAACTGGATGGTGACTCAAGGGGCAGGGGCTAGAACAGGCTCCTCCCCAGCACAGCTACAGGCGGCAGGTGTGGGGAAAATACTCATGTCCTAAAGGCTGGCCATGGACCAGTGCTGCTGATGCTCTTTGACACAGGGGGTGACCCGTGTCCTTTGTCATATGTGGCTCAGTTGGTCTGAGAGCCCTGGGCCAAAGGGCCAAGCTCTGTGTCTATCTTCCCAGATGAGCGATGTGGAAGCTGGTGGTGCCACCGTCTTCCCTGACCTGGGTGCTGCCATTTGGCCTAAAAAGGTGAGTCCTAGTCCTTATGGGTCAGAGGTGGAAGAGGGACTCTGACCTTGCCCAGGACCTGGCCCTTGGCCTGCTCGACTATCACTTTGATGGGCAGAAGCCTCTTTTCTCCTGGACTCTGACCTTACAGCCTCCGTTTCCCACTGTGGAGAAAGGGCAGAGGAGGAATGTCTCACCGGGGGCTGGGGGTTTTCATATGCCCACCCCAGCAGGAAGCGGAGGTTTTGTCTGGGGAAATCCTCCACCAGAGGAGCCCCAGACCCTGTCCCCCCACCCCCTACACATGGAACGAGGGTGTTCCTACTCTGGGGTCCAGTCCCAGAGCCCACGTGAGACTGGGTGCCAGAGGCACTGTGTGTGTCAAAGAGGGCTGACTGGGCAAAAAGGCCAACCCCTTGCTCCTTGCACACGGCACCGCTCTTCAAGCTCCAAGTACGCGTCTTCAGGGCCCAGATCCCTGTGTCTCCAGGCTACCTCCTGGACCTCTGCCCATCTTGTCCGCTGAAGCCCACGTGCCGAGGGCGAGTTCCGACAGGCTGTTCTCGCACAGGGCACAGCTGTGTTCTGGTACAATCTCCTGCGGAGTGGCGAAGGCGACTACCGGACGAGACACGCTGCCTGCCCCGTGCTCGTGGGCTGCAAGTGGGGTGAGTGGCTTCCAGGGTGGTCCTGGCCTTGGTGGCCGCAGGCTGGTCTTTGATTCCCAGCTGGGAGACACGTTTGTGCCAGACCCTTGCTGAGGTTTTTTCTGCTCCTTGATGGGCCCCTCAGCCAGGGTGGCTCAGGCAGCTGGCTAGAGAGCTGAGGGAGCCCTACGCACTTCCAGGGGCAGCGGGAGTGGGAGTTGGGGGTGGGATCTCAGGAGGAATCCGTCTGGCATGGGTCTGAGGGAACCGTGGAGGAGAGGTGGAGTCAGAAAGCGGGGAAGGGTGTCCCAGGAAAGAGGCACCGGTTGAAGACTAGCCCACGGGGTGGAGGCTGGCTGCTTTGGTCACTTGAATAGGGGGAGGCCAGTGGCAAGAGGCTGAAGATGAAGTTCAAGGCTGGGCATGAACTTGAAAGGCTAAAGCTTGAGTCTTGTTGTGGAAGGAGCTGCGGTCAGCCTGTGGGTAGCCAGGAAGAGATTGCAGGAGATGAGTGTTCAGGCCCTGTGGGAGAGCTAGGGGGCATCCATAGGGATAGGTACGCAGAAAACTAAGCACATTTTACAACAGGAGGCAACTTTAAAACTCACGCTCATTGTCACCAGGGCTCCTTAAACTGAAAAAGTGTCAAACTCCCTGCCTCCCAGGTGATGTGCCCCCATAGGAACCCTATAGGACAGGGTAGAGTGCCCCTGTGCGTTTTCAAGACGGTGACTCTGGGGGTAGAACCCAGGAACCCCAGCCCCCTGCCGTCAAGTCGTTGCTGACTCCTAGTGACCCTATAGGACAGGGGAGAGCAGGCCAAGCTGTAACTGTCTCCTTTGGAGCGGCATTTGGTTTCAAACTGCTGACCCTGAGGTTAGCAGCCCAATGTGTAACCACTACGCCGCCACCAGGGCTCCTGCATTCTAACTTTCAGGGGTGGGAGAATTTGTCTAAGAATGGAGATCCAAATATTATCTAGGAGATGGCTCAGGTGTGCGCAACATTGGTTTGAGCATAATGTTCCTATCAAGTGAATATTAATGTAACTGGAACGTGTGGTTGAAATATACTGGGAGGATGGGACACAGGAAGTAGGTGTTTCCAGGTGGCAGAAAATAACTGGAAAACTGCATCTTCCATGGGAGAATCTTGATCGCTGTAGTTGAGTTGCAAAGGCTAAGATTGAAAGTCAAGAATTAGGCCCCTGAGCATTTTATTTAAACCAACCAGGGTAAACATCAGGAGAAACGACTCAAGGAGTTGAGCATCCTCGGTGGGGGGTGGGGTGCCGGGGTGGAGACTGGGGATGGGGAGGCCAGGAGATCGCTGTTGTGCCTTGTAAACCTTCGAGGAAAATTGGATTTTTCAAACGAAGTACCCGTTTTACATGAAAAAAAATTGAGTGTTAAAAATGTATATGTTAAAAGCTCTGTGACTCCAGCAATGCGTGAAAACGTGTTTGGTTTTATTCACCAGGAGAAAGTGTCTGAGGACAGCATGGGAGCACTCAAGTATTTGCTCACGTGTCCTCGGGACACGGAGGTTTAAGGACAGTGCTGCCCCTGGATACCCACAGCACACGGGTTGGGACCTGCTGCGCACAGCCCCTGAGCTTGTAGTCCAAGCCCTCTGCTGCCCTGATGGGCATCCTCCTCCCATATCCTGCCTCCGTTTTCCCACTTAGTAACAACCAGCTTATTTGGGTGCGTGTACACACCGTGGGTGCTCAAGGTTCTTGTTATCCGGTTCCCATTACCTGGGAACCCCTTGGTGTGTGACCCCCTTGATAAGGTCCCCTTCTCCCTAGCTTCCCTTCTGTTTAGCTTCCTGCCCTACCCCCACTAGGGTTTCCTCCTCCCCTATCTGGGTAGATGCCCCCCAGTTCTGCTCCCATGGCAACCTGTGCACCGGCAGAATGTGTACAGCTATCTGCTTACACATCTGTCCTGTTTCCCAGCTCATGAACCAGTAGAGGTGCAAGGCTATGTCTCACATCTCATTCATAGGCCCCACACAGGCATCACGGTGAAGGGGCTGCAGAGTGAACAGTAGGATTGTAACGTGCCTCCTCTCTGTTTGCAGTTTCCAATAAGTGGTTCCACGAGCGAGGACAGGAGTTCTTGAGGCCGTGTGGATCAACAGAGGTCGACTGACAAGTCCATTTGGCCCTTCTCCTCCTGGCCCCACATCCCATGTTGTTTTCCTGTGCAGTGTGACCGATACCTTTATGTGCTCCAGCCCTAGACAGGCAGGCCTTTGGGAGAGTGAATGCTTGTCTGGAACAGAGAGAGAGGGGATGGGGAGGACCCTGGGTGTCCTGGGTCTGTGCTGACCCAGCCAGCAGGGTAAACCAGCCTGCCCCTCAGGTCCCCCAAAGCAGAGACGGAATAGCTGCAGCAGAGCCAGGCTGTCTAGCACCTTGTAAGGTGCCTTTGTACCTCAGATGTTTTAGGTGTGAGATATTTCAGTGAACCAAAGTGCTGGTATCTTGTTTACATGTTTGTTTTTATGACATTTTCATCAGTTATGGCTTTAACCAAAAAATAAAATGTCCCCGCTAAAAGCCTTTAAAGAACCTTGACTTTGGAGTGTTGTTTTTTATGAAGACCTGGGAGCTTTTATCAGTCACCATTTCCTATGTGTCACCTCTGTTTAGGCAGAGTCTGCATAATGGCCTTGGGTTCCAGACCTCATTCAGCTCGTGTTCTTCAAGCTTGACTAACCATCTCTGGAAAAGCGCCTTAGGTCCTGAAGAACCAAGAGAGTACATGTGTTCATGGTATAACATATGTTTTCTTTTCCAGAAAGTATTTATTGTCTTGTTGAGAACAGTAAAACACACACCAGTTCAAGCATTTCTCCGTGTCAGTCTGTCGATGTGGATTATATTCCTCAGATTATGCCACCATATGCATCCTCCCTTTTTGAATCATCCCGTCCCCACTGCCTAACTCACTGCCTAAACTCCCTGCCAGCCGAGGAACCTCTCCAATCTTTCGAGTTGTGCTTGGCTGACAACCAGAAAGGTGGACAGCTTGCAGCTCTACCCCTTTCTCAGAAGACAGTTGTGGTCATCTGCTTCTGTGATGATTACAACCTTGGGAACCCAGTGGGGCAGTTCTGCTCTGCCTTATGTGGTCTTGCAGAGTCAACATGGACTCGATGACAAGTTTAGGTTTGGATTTCAATCGTTCTTAAAAGACATCATCGCTTATTAAAATTAAAAAAATATATATTTCTATCTACATAAGATAAGCAGGATAAACACTCCTGAGGAGGAGAACAATGCAACCAATGGTTCTTGGGAGACATAGGAGAGGAGGAGGCCAGGGGAAGGGATCAGGGAGCCAACAAACTCAGGGATAAGGGAACAACAAGGGATCTAAAATTGATGGTGAGGAGGATGTAGAATGCCTGGTGGGGCTTAATCAATTGTAATGTAGCTGAGAGCGGAATGAAGGGTGAACGTGACAGTGGGCCAGGAAGAAAGTTAAAGGAAATAGAGTAAAGAACTAGTTGGAAAAATACATATATAGAGGTAAGAATATAGGCATGTCCATATGTAAACATACTAATATATAATGATAGGGGTATTGGTTGTACAAATATGCTAAAGCATTAGGTAGCAGACAGACTTTGGGCCTCAAGTCTTCCCTCAATGCAAGACCATTTTGTTTTAATAACCTGGCACTGCATGATACTCACCTTTCCCATACAATTGCTGAAGAAAATTATGGATGCAAAATCAAATGTGAAGAAAGCTGATGGTGCCCAACTATTAAAAATATAGCATCTGGGGTCTTAAAGGCTTGAAGTTAAACAAATGGCCATCTAGCAGGGAAGCAGCAAAGCTCACATGGAGGAAGCACACCAGCCTGTGTGATCACCAGGTTTCCGTGGGATCAGGTGCCAAAAGATCAAAAACAACTAATCATATCGATGTGAAGGAGAGGGGTCAGAGTGGTCACCCAAAGCCCATCTGTAAACAATTGGGCATTCCCTCACAGAAGGGTCATATACAGTATAGCACCGATGAAACACACAATACTCCTCTGATTCTTGGATGCTTCCTCCCCCCACTATCATGAGGGGAGGACGTTCTACCTCACAAATCCAGCTAGATCAGAAGATGTACATTGGTACAGATAAGAGTTTTCGACACATGGAATCCAGGATATACAAACCCCTCAGGAACAGTAATGGGATCAACGATTCCATAAGGTACGGGAAGTGGGTGGGGGTGCTGATATCAATGATGGATGCATAACCCCACCTGAGGGGGATAAACAACAGAAATGCACGTGAAGGGACACAGTGGATGGTGTAAGACATGAAGAAATAATACATAATTTATTAATGGTTCACAAGGGTGGGGGAGGGAGGGAAAAAGAGAAGCTGGTATCAAGGGCTCAAGTAGAAAAATAATGTTTTGAAAATGATGATGGCGACTTTTTGTACAAGTTGGCTTGATATAATTGATTTATGGATTGTTATCGCTAAGGACTCCCAATAAAATGTTTAATAAAAAAGACATTAGTGCTCAAGGCTGACTTTTTTTTTTAATAGCTAAGCTAAAATATCATTTGGTTTTAAGAAGACTTTGTGGGATAATTTTATTTTAAGGCTTAAAGATTATCTCAGGACAATACTTTTAGTGGTTCAGTCAAACTTCTTGGCTCCAGAAGGTTTGGATTCCATGAGAATATGAAATTCTAATGCATTTACCCATGAGTTTTCTATAGAATACTTGATCCAAATATATAGTCATGGTACTGGGACTCTATCCAGTTCTCCTGGTCTCCTGGCCCAGGAAGCAGCTGTTGTTGGAGCTAATGAACCACACTTTCAGTGTCTTCCTCCTATTTCTGATTCAAGTCTAAGCTGTCTTAAGGGCACTGGTGAAAAGCAAAGCTGCAGCAATTGACAGAATACCACTTAGAATGTTTCAATTAACAGGTGCAATGCCCCCAAAACTTTCACATTGTATGCCAAGAAATTTGGAAGGTCAGCTGACTGGAAGAGATTCTTATTTGTGCCTATACCAATGGAAAGTGGGCCAACAAATGCAAAAGTTATTGAATAACATCAATAGCATCATATGCAAATAAAATTTTGCTAACTATAATTTTAAAAATGGTTTTAGCCGTACACTAATGGAACTTCCAGAAATTCAAGCTGATTTCAAAAGATATGAGGGATATCATTGCTCATGTCAGATGGAGCTTGACTGCAAGCAATATCAGAAGTATAAGATACTTGTATCTTACTGACTATACAAAGGAATTCAACTATGTGGATCACAAAAATTATGGATAATGTAGAGAATGGGAATTCTGGGACAATTGTCAATGTGAACCTGTACAAAGACCAAAAGGCAGTCTCCCAAACAGAACAAGGTAACACTGTGTGGGTTAACATCAGATAAGGTGTATGTCAGGGTTGTACGCTTCCATTGTACTTACTTAATCTGTAGAATGAGCAAATAATCTGAGAAGGTGGAATATATTGGTATTTGGGAAACACTCGTTAACAAGCTATAATATCCAGGTGACAGAACTTGGTTTGCTGAAAGCAGAATTGAAGCACTTATTGATGAAGTCCAAAGACTGCAGCCTTCAGGACAGATTAGACCTCAACAGAAAACTTCATAACCAGACCAATAAGCAGCAGCACATATACAGAGAAAGGACTGACGTCGCAGATTTTGTTTTACTTGGATCCACATTCAGTGCCCATGGAAGCAGCAGTCATTGGACACTGGGCACACGGGCTGCACACGCCCTCTTTGGAGTGTTTAAAAGCAAAGATATCACATTGAGGACTAAGGCATATCCTGAGCTAAACCATGGTATTTTCAATTGCCACATATGCATGTGAAAGCTGGACAATGACGACGAAAGAGGGAAAGGATTGACTATTGTGTTGAATGTAATATGTTGAATATACGCTGGACGTCCAGAAGAAAGAACACCTCTGTCTTGGAAGGAGAACAGTTATGCTTCTTAGACGAGAGGATGGTGAGGCTTTGGACATGTTGTCAGGAGGGACCAGTCCCTGGAGAAGGATGGCATGAAAAGAGGAAGCACCTGAATGAGATGGACTGACATAGTGATTGTAACAGGGGCGCCAGCACACCGATGACTGTGAGGGTGGCACAAGAGTGGGCAGTATTCTGTTGTTCATAGGGGCCCCGGGAGTCTGAGCCCCCTTGATGGTCTCTGTGAGATTTATTGTTTTTAAGTGGTGTGATACGTACACACAATTATGCACGATGCATAGAGGTGCCGTTTAAAGAGTAATAAGATGAGTGTGAGAACCCATGTGACCATAACGGAGGTTGAAGGAGAGAATAATGTCAAATGAGTTTCTTAGGAGCCCCCTTTGTACCTCTCCTGGATCACATTTGCTTCCCATTCCTATCCCTGGGCGATAACCATTGCCTAGTGATTTGTGACAGGCACTGCTTTTTTTTTTTAGCATTTTACAATCTGTGTATGGATTGCATAGTTATGTTGTTTTTCCTGATTTTTGACTTTTTATAAAGTATGTGACTCGGGATGTTTGGCTTTTTATTGTTGTTAATCAGCATTTTTTTTAAAAGGCTCATTCTTGTCATTGAATAGCTGTAGTTCATTTTCCTTTTTATAGTTTACTCATTTTTTTGCTTGCTGTATGATACTTGTTTTTGCTTTCCCCTTTACCCAAGTTAGTAAATGTCTCTCCTCTAGTTTGTCACTTATCCTCCCTTCCGCTTCCATCCCTTTCATCCATCAAAGGATTGACCTGTAAATGTGAAAACCCTGTATTGACATTTTGTAATAGTGGTCTTATGGAATAGTTGTCCCTTTGGGATTGACTTCATTCCCTCCGAATTTATCTTCCCAGTTCATGTTACGTGGTGGTTCATGGATTCGCTGTTATTTTTAAATGTTGCGTAGTATTCCTTTGTGTGTGTGTGTACCATAGTTTGTTTATCCGTTCTTCCATTTATAGGCATTTTGGGCTGTTCCCATCCATTTCCTATTGAGTAATGTGATGAACATGTTCATGTTGTTGTCAGGTGCCATTGACGTGGCTCAGACCCGGAATGCCCTTGTGCATAACAGAAGGAAACCTTGCCCAGTCCCATGCCATCCTCACAAGTGTTCCTAACTGGGGCCCATGGTTGCAGCCGCTGTGTCAGTCCATCTCCTGGAGGGCCTTCTTTTTTGCTGCCCTCTACATGATGAACATGGGTGAACATGCATCTATCTGTGTCATGGCCTCATTTTTCAAGAATATGTACCAAGTGTTGGGATTACTGAATCATATATAGAGTATTTCTATTTCCAATATGAATTTTTAAGGAGGCATCATGCCATTTTCCACAGTCGTTGCACCATTTTGTTCCACAAGTATAAGATTCCAGTCTCTTCTCATCCTTGGTATTTATGTACAATTTTTTAACCTTGGTATTGGTGCTGTGTTAAGATGATATCTCTTTGTTATTTTAATTTGCATCTCTCTAATGGCTAATGCATGATCACAAGCATGTATTCATGTGTTCACTGGCTGCCTGAGTGTCGTCTTCATTAATGTGTC